GTTTATATTATTCATTATATTGAAAAATTAACTCAAAATAGATATATTTTTCAGGAAAGAAGTTGATCCACGATTGTTAGGATTAAGAGCTATCGAGTGGCAAGTGCAAAGTCTTTACATGAATTAGACTTAGGACTTTGAACTGAAAGAGTTAGTGATTTTTTATATTCTTTTGAATTTAAATTTGTTGTTTTAAGTTCAATAATTTAGCATAATTTTATACTTAGTTCATAATAATAATAATATGATTCAGTATTTAGAATGATAAACTTGTGTAATTTGTATGTAATACTACTAGTACCAGTACCACATAAGAATTTTATATTTTTCCTTCTTACAATCTTTGCTTTGTAGTAAGACCCACACTTCTGTTGTTATTGCGTTAGAATTAAAACAGTCTAATTGATATATAGTTTATTCTGATATTTTGCAAATGGTTCAAACTCAGTGTACAAGTGACAACAATAAAACCCATATGTTGGTTGTGAAACAGACTAAATACATTCATCTCAATAATACAGGGAAGCTACGACATTCTCACAGTTCAGGTCTAAATACATTGAAGAGCTTAAGTTTCGATTTCCAACATAAATCTTGCTTATAATGAGAGGAATGTGACCAGGACTAATCTTTTAAGTGCTCTAAAGTAATTTTCTTTGTAATTTATGGTGTCTGTATCATTTGGTAATCTCTTCTAACAGGATGTATCAAGTAACAAGGGGTCAGGCTCAGGTGGTGTTTATTGAAACCACCTGTACTATAAACTGTTACATACATTCGTTAGTAGTGGCAGTTAGTTTTGTCTCTATTCTGAAACAACATACAAGGACATATGTTGAAATAAACTTGTTTGAAAGTTCAAAGAAATGATATTCAAGTACCATAAAGCTTTCTTACTATCATATCTACAGTAATGTTCAAATGCGCCCGCGCTCGGTTGAACTGAACAAGAGTGACCACCAACAGTGGTGAGATAGTTTACAGAAAACGTACAAAGTTCACGCTGCTGACCCCACGGTTTATTCGGCACAATAAACAAAAGTATACGACTGCAATGAAACATAAACATAAATTTGAAATAAAAATATATTTATGAAACAAAATTAAAATGTTTTTATGTACATATATAAACATGAAATCCTAGTTTTAAAAAAAATACTCATTTATTGTTTAGGTTTATTTACAAATATTATTTTCGGGTCTGTATATTACTTGAAACCATAAGAAGAGTACGTGATTATTAAAAAAATTAAAAATAGATAAAATTTGAATTTTATGGAGAATGCAATTTTTTGGGGATTTCAAAATAATCTACTAAAACATAAAAATTAATAAGTTCAAATCTGGAACAAATATAAATATCGTAATCATTTCTTATAAATACCATTTCCTAATGTAATTTTCCAAGATATTAAAGATCATAATGCAAAAAAACTAAATTTATCAAAAGTAATAGGCTTTATGTTTCTTAAACTACATACATCTTTGAAAGTTCTTATGAAGTTTCAAACATATTCATCCACTAGTTTTATTGTTGGAATGAAATATAGCAAGACTTGCATTGCCTACTAAGAAAGTTAGTAGCCGGTAATCATCGGGTTAAGGGACAGGTGAAACAAAGAACATGAGGATATAGGTACGAACTGAGGTTAAACTAAAGGAATGAAGGACCACATTAACACTTTCAATATGGGCTCAGTCAATTTGACCAACCATGTAACCTTTTTTGTACTCGTTTAAAATTTTTATAAATGTAATACTTATAACTCTCAATATAGTGGGTATATCTTCATGAAATTTGGCAGTCTTTCAGTTAATATTACAAGTCTTTCACATACAAAAACTCATTTCTTAGTGAAGTATTTTTAATAAAATAAAAATTTTCCATGAATATATTGAGTATTTGTTTTGAATAGTGCGTGTGCAAAGTAATTTTCATGTTGAAATAAAAAATACTTTTCCTCATCTCAAAAATCTCAAATTTCCTTTGTGTAATCCCTAAGATCTCCTAAATGTATTTCAAACGTTTTTATTCAGTAAAACTTTATAGTTTATCTGTTATTTTCTCTAACCTATCTAAAAACATGATCAGTCAATTGACCTTTTTTCTTTCTAGAGCGATTTCACATTGTAACATGAAACTACATTTGTTTATCCTAAGTAGCTCTAAGTTTGTAACATTATACATCTATTTATAATTAAATTTTATTTTTTTATTGCCCTTTGAACAGTGTCTAACTACTATCCATGTCATTATAAGTTGTAAATCACTCAGTGAATGTGCAGCTCACATTACACTATTGAATTACATTACCCATGACCTGCTTGCATGCGTGCCTCATAAATCATTTTAATTATATTATTATTATCATTACTTATTTTACCTAATCTAGTCTTGAATAACTTAAAAAGATTTGTATTTTTAGATTGTAGTTACTTTTACAATAATAAATAAAGAACAAATATGAAAAACAAGAAATAAAGTACTTACCCAATTTCTTTTTCTTGTTGTCGGGTTTCAAAGACAGTTAAAGCTAATTTTTACACTATACGTATAGTAATACACTTAATAATTTTTATTTAATTAAATAA